TAGCTTCGCCAGCGTATTTGTTAACGTAGTCGCGTTCCTGTGCCTTTGTGTGAATTCAGACCATGATCCACCTCTGTTCCAAATATCATGACAATCTCTTTAGTCGTGTTGACACGAAAGAATACTAAACAAACCAACAAACATATACACATTCGCATATTATATTATTAGTAGGATTATAATGATTACTTTAAATTGGCGACAATATACAACATGTAACTTAAATAACGCACATCCTGAAAATAGTTCGTTCAGAATCGTTAACTGAATCGATTTATATAATTTTAGTATAGGTAATTTTTTATCCCAAAAATAATTAAAACTACGGAAATTATTGTCATATTAACCCTGTATTGTTAAGACAAATCGAAATGGACCGTTAGTCAAAGCAATAAGACTTTTAAAATCGCAGTTTTAATTGTATTCTTATAAATTCTATCATTCAATACAAAATAAAGAAAAATAAACCTTATGACAAGACCAGCAAGGATTATGATTATAACATAATATTCTAATTGGGGTTTTTGAGGGTGTGCGTTAATTCCGTTACATGTTGTATAATACCCTATGCCCAATAGACACTTATAACCTCTAAACCAGGTAACCACAGATACAAAGACCCACCTCAATATAAAACAATAACTGAGTATTTCAAACATAAGTCGACATTTTTCACCTGACGTCAGTGAAACTCGTGACACTTTTCAGAATTAGGTGCCGGGGGGAGTTTGGGAGGAGTTGAGGGGGAGTTTTAGAGGGGCGAGTTGAAATCCACCCTTGTATATAACCACTGTTTATAGTTTAGTATCATAACAGACATAGGTTTTATAACTGAGGGGGTAGGCAGATATGCTGGCTCAATGTAACATTTTGTATGAGTGTCGATTAATTATGTCAGGTATGAGTGTCATGTATGTAGCATGGGTGAGTATATCGTTAGAAGTTCCCATTCACATTTACTGTACCGAGCTATTATTATTAGACTGCCTCGTTGGCCGAATGTTTGAAGTGCAACTGCCGGGCAACGGGTCTCAGGTTCGATTCCCGGGTCGGGCAAATTTATTAGTGTTTTTTTTAAGTCTCACTACTAGTGTAGACTCTGAAATTGTGCCCGGTATATCGCAATAGGCTCACCCCTTTCATATAGGACTCATAACATAAATAGTGAAAAGTGAGTGCTACATTGTATAGTGGCTTTAAGTGCTTTAATGTACACCTCCTACCCCTTCCCAATTTCGAAAATACACAATAACGCTTTACCCAACTTGGAAAACCGAGAGCCCTTGCTTAACTGTCGTGTTCGCGACCAACGAGCTAAACGCCATGGTTTATAATTCCGCTTTACATATTTTGAACAGTAATTACAATCAGGACTTTGTTTGATGTCGTGTTTTCAAAAGAATCATTATTTTTTGTAGTTTTTTTCACCATATAATTATTCGATCGGTTTATTTGGTCTGTCATTAAGTGGGCTGATCTAGTTCTTTAGTGTTCCATGTACCTGTATGATCAACAGCCTTGAGTATTATAATTAAATGTTTGGGTAAGTAGTTTTAGAATTTTATTTTTAGATTATAAGAACAGAATAATTATGATTACATAACATAACATCACGCCTTTTATCCCCGAAGGGATAGGCAGAGGTGCACATTATGCCACTGTACAATTTAACACCCACTTTTCACTATTTATGTTATGAGTTACATTTTTAATTTTTAAACCCAGTAATACTTTGCAATAGCCGGGAATGGAACCCGACACCTCTTGCCCGGCAGTCGCACTTGCGACCATTCGGCCAGTTTCACCTTAGGTATATTCTAAAATAATCGTTATGAACTCTTAAGTGATACATACATATACATAACTTCACGCCTGTCTCCCGTGGGGGTAGGCAGAGACTATGGAACGCCAATTGCTACGGTTCTCTTCAAACCTCTTTCGTTTTATCAACAGTCGTCAATCTTTTCATGCATGCTCGTTGGTTAAGGGTACTTTTAATTTGGCCCTACTTTGATATTTTGCCAATCTAGTCAGTTTATGCCCGTCTATGGCGCCCTCTACCGTCTCAACCATAAGCAAGTATTTGCAAGAAATAATTAACTAATACATGATTGTTCTACATACATAGAACTAATAAATAAATAACTTTGGTTTCCATGGCAACCAATAACACTGCTAGTTATTGGTACGCCTACGAGTTACTGATGATTTGTTCATAGTAATATTATTTCTAATATTGCCTGACAATGTATGGGAATAGATCTCGTTATATGTGGTATGGTTACTGCTCTTCGAACCACTACACCAAGCACACAGTATAACAGCCTATATATTAGTGGCCACTGCTGACCAAAGACTTCTTCTCATATGGAGGTTTGAGCATTAATCACCACGCTAGCTCAATGCGGGTTGACGATTTCACACTCATAATAGGCATGGCGACTATTTTTTAATTTTTTGTCTGTCTTTTAGATATTTTAAAAATCTTCGATACGTATTTTTTCTTTTTTCTCGTATCCAAAAAAACATGTAGATATTTTGAGTTAAAATGATGCGTGACGTCACACTTAGGTACGATTTCTCCGTAAGTGTGACGTCAACACCCCCCACTCCCTAACTTTAATGCGGAATAACTACGTATTCTTCTGTTAATTTGATAAAACAAAAAATACGTGTCTGATATTTTCGTGCGATCTTAATGACGGACTAATTACTTTTTTGATTTTTTTACCCTGTCGACACGCCTATTAGAAACTATAAGCCCAGGTTTCCTCACAATGTTTTCCTGGATCAGTGGTGTCTAAATAACCTCAGAAAGTCGGAAAGTACCTACACGGATAATATCATATTTGTACTTATTATGAACACGAAGTATTTATTAAAAAAAATATCCGTTACACCAACCGCAAATTATAATAAAGATATTGAATAATACATTGTAACTAGGTCTTCAATTTATTAATACAACAGTCATTTTATGATATTAATCATCGGTAACTCAGTGTCATTTGGTTGATATTAATTTACTCTATTTATACAATAAAACAATATAATGGTTTAAGTTTCAATTAAACGTGTTCTAGAGTGGAGACCGCGTCTAGGCAAACGCAGTGTAGGGCGCCCTCTAGCTAGGTGGAGTGATGACATCCGCTAGGTGGTTTTTTTTTTAAGGGGGGAAAATCATCGAATGACTGCTCCCGCCTGGGTGAGGCGGAAGGGAGTGTCAGACTCTTACTGACTAAAAACCACCCCGTTCCTTCTCCTGCACGTCGAGTCGGAGCCCCGGTTACCCGTTAGGTTCTCCGCGACAGAAGTGGTTGGATGAGAAGAGCTGAAGACCGAGCTCAGTGGCGTGCCATTGAAGAGGAATATGTCCAGCAATGGACGAATACGGGCTGATGATGAAGTTATAATTACATTCGTAAAATCGTAATCGAGGTAAGTACGTACAATAAAATAATGAATGATAACTATAAAAGGTTTCATTTGATGAAGATTGACATTTTTATTTAAGTAGGTACCTACTCAATCCTATTGAAATTATAAACGAGAATCTTTATAGGTACATATTATGTTGTTTGTTTGTCAGTACTTCATGACAAAACGTCTGAAGTGATCAGAATGAAATTTGGACCAAAGGTGGATAGTGGTCTGGTAAAACACATAGGCTGGGAGAAAATCATACAATGACTTCTCTCGCCTTGGGTTAGGCGAGAGGGAGTGTCCGATTCTTACTGACTAAAAAGCACCCCGTTCCTACTCCTGCCCTTCGAGCCGGAGCCCTGGCAACCCGCTAGACTTTCTGCAGGTAACACATAGTCTAGGGACTTATTCCCCACGGTGACCCCGGGCGAATACGCTAGCAGAAGCTAGACGTATAAATATTACACTCATCAATAAATAAATGGCAATTCTTATTACTAAGTCAGATTCTGAGGTTATTTGTAATTTTATAAATACCTACTGTTAGCATAGGACCCGAAACAGTAGCTGGTATTTGATAATAGACGCACACTACCTATATTACTAAATATCATAACAGACAATATCAGGTGTCATGATAACACACCCCTGCCAATCTCCTTTTTGGGACTAACAACCGTAATATTACGTTATATTGATAATTACCTAGCGACTGCGTCCCTGTAGAATATTTATCTTATTTTATTTATTTTAAGAAACTCCTACATTTATAATTATAAATCTACACGCCTTCAACGTATCAAACACCAACTTATTACCCTAAAACTCTGCTTATACCGGCAAAATTAATAGCATGTGTGTACAAAAGATAATTTCCTTACGCCAACAGAATGTTTTGACACAATAACTTCTATGTTGTGATTATGCTAATGAGTTTTGAACGTTATAATTTTATGTTGAACACCAAGGGAAATATGTTCGTACACTGTTGCTAAAGTTCAAAATTAATATGAAATGTTTAGAGCATAACGCTTTCAGGCAAACAGCCTTGAACCGATTTTTTCTAGAATATGACCTTAGAAACAACATGTCGGTTCGTTTGGCTTCAGAATTTCAAATATCGAACCGCTTTGTTGTCAGTTCAACTGGTTGTATCTACAACAGTATGGGTGAAAATATACAGGCAATATCCCATAATAATATTAGACGAAGAATCGTCAACCCTTGGGAATTTTCTCTTGGGAAACGCGTGGCACAAAAGCTTCGTAATTTTCTCACACATTTTGAAAATTCGACGAATCTTTGTTGCTTTACGAACAGAAATACAACCGCTTTACACAAACCACCTTCTCTACTATAAAACGAGTATAAGTAGGTATCAAACAAGCGCTTATTTACAACCCAAAAATGGTGCCGAATTTTCATGGAAACGGCATTTTCTCTCCACATATCGTCGAAAAACACTGCATCGTCAACACATTTTATTCATAACAAAAATAAAAGCGATTCAGCAAGACAAAACACGCGAGTATTACGCGTAAAAATATACAATTTTCACGTTAAAAAAATCTACTAACCTTTAGCTACGTAATCACGAAACAAAACGTTCATTACTTAGGTAATCCTGTAATCTTTTACATTAAAAATCCAACATCTGAAATAATACAACACTGTACTAATCCACGATAATAATCATCCACTTCAAACTGTAAAAGTTTCTTGTTTATCCACACACGCACTCACAGAAAAAAACACTGAATTGTTAATTTTTAAAGAATATTTTTTGAATGTTCGCTTTTTCAAAATGCCGCGTAATGACGCGCGTTGGGGAGCTAGAAACACACTGTCGCCCGTGACGTTCAGCCACTGACTGAGGGTGTATGTAAAGCTGCGCTCGCCCGGCCAGGCTGGGCACCAAAGAGTAGGCTTTTGGAGAAATGCCGGGCAGTTTTCTACCTATCGTAGTTGTGAAAGTTTGTCAAGTGATTTGATGTGAAGTGTTGTTCTTTGTTCACTTATCTTTTACACCTTTGTTGAAAAGAAATTAATACTAATATTATGTGTGATGGTTTTTCAACATACTTAGTTCTATCATATTAAGATTGAAAATGCAATTAGTGCATACCATAAAAGAATACTTATTGTGTTATATTTTTTTCTCAATTTATAACCGTGAATCAAATGGTACATTTTACTTTTATATCATAAAAACGATCAAAATAGACATTGCAATGCACACAATATTATAGTTCACAGAAAAAGTTGCTTAACAATAATGTTTACCTACCTATAATGTAATAAGCATTGTTTTTGTCCTTAAAATATCGAAAAGATTTTGAAAAATGCAATAGATAAATCCATTTCAGATTTTTCGTCTAATCACATTTTTTCTAACAAACAACAACCCAAATACAGATAATTTTATTTCAATTTACTAAAACCTCCTTGGTCTTTGAAACCTCTCGTTATCATCACTGAGGCTCCACTATAAAGTCTACAACTATTCTACCAAAACGGCTACTCTGTAAAATTTCCCACTAGCCTGTTCTTTGACTCGACAACGACCTTAATCTGAAATCCCTTTTCAACTCCTCGTGCGTCTCATTATTGATCTCTTTCACTCCTCACTACCGGTGCAATAATATCTCTGTCTCGCTTTCACAAAGCGTAAACGTATACGTCTGTCTCTGTTCCGCATCACTGCAGAGCCTCAAAAACGAGGTAGAACCACCGTACTATCAACGTGCGCGTTCCGAATAAGAAATTTTTCCTTTAGACTGGACACAGAGTAGGTTTCTTCGGTTCAAACATTTGATCTTACTGCCAATTTTTCTTTATTGTTGTATGAATTTTTCTTGTATACAATTTCTTGAAGAAATGAGGAGTTAAGTATGAAGGTTCGGATGACTTATAAATTTGTTTGGAGGATAAAGAAATGGATGCAGATATAAGTTTGGGTGTTTTTTTTTTTTGCTAACAATTGGCCTGGCTAGGGGCGGGCTGTGCTGAATAAAATATAGGAACAGTTGGTCAGACGATATTTATTTTCAATCGAATTGTTCTGTGTACTGAAGCCATTATTGTTACGATACGTTCTGCGGTCTAGTTTGTGAAGAGGGATAGGGGTGGGTATTGAACATAGAGTTTTTTTATTTGGATGACGATTTTTTTTAGTCTGGATGTTGATTAGAAAATTAGTTGCTTTTATTTTGGGATGTTGCGGTTGATTAGCAACTTACCTACATGATTTGTCTATAGATGAAATATTTGAGTGTGTGTGTTATTTATTTTGGTGTTTTGAAAGTTTTTTGAATAATATTTTTTTATTAACTTGAATTCGAAATAAAAAAGGACCGTACATGGCAAAGTTGTTAACTTTTCAAAGGATTAGAGAGTTCGTTATTATAATTAATGGAATTGACATATTTAAGAATGTATAGGAAATTATTAATAGCTAGTTAGTTCGTGTATATTAAAAGTGTGGGAGAGCCATGCTTCGGCATGAATGAGCCGGGTCGACCGGAGTGATACCAGAAAACAGACGTGAAGCAACGCTAGCATTGTGTTTCGTGCCGTGTGAGTGAGGTTACTGGAGGCAAAATTACCCCCTCCCCCTCCCGCCCCGATTTCTCCAAACCCGTGAATCCTCAACAATCCTCAAATTCTTAATCCCAAAAAAGGCCGGTAACGCACTTGTAACGCCTCTAGTGTTCCAGGTGTCCATGGGCGACGCCGATTGCTTACTATCAGGTAATCCGTCGGCTCGTTTACGGGCTAATCCCATAGAATAAAAATATTAGTTTCAATAGTTTTAAAGTAAGAAAGTTACTTTATAACAAATAAAATGAAAAGGAAATTCGCAATAATATTTTTCCTCTTAGCTACCATAAAAAAGTGACAGAAAGAAATTATTTCTTTCTGTTGAAACCTCATTCGTCTTTTTCCATATTGGTTATTTCCTTTTTTTTGCAGGAAGTTGTTTGCGGACCGTATTCTTATTTTTTTATTTTTGTATTCCATTTTTTTAATCTTGGTTTTTAAATAAGGTTGCGGTACAAGATTTATGAAAATTGGAGACATCTTTGTGTATATTTTGTTTTGTTACCAATCTACTTCATTTTTTAGTGACTGCAAAAATGCGGGCAAAGGTCTCCGGTTCGATTCCCGGGTCGGGCAAAGTATTACTGGGTTTTAAAAAATTCTCAGTAGTAGCACGGAGTATGGAATTGGCTCACCCCCTATTACATGGGACTCATAACATAAATAGTGAAAAGTGGGTGTTACATTGTACAGTGGCATAATGTGCACCTCTGCCTACCCCTTCGGAGATAAAAGGCTGATTCTGAGTAAATAAAAAATTACTAAGTATAGTTAATTAAAAATCACGGGTTACTCTCGTGAAAATACTAGTTTCGCACAGTCTACGACATATATATGTAGGCAGCGCGGCATCACCGCGACCGCGCACGCTGCTCATGAGGAAGAACCCCTCTGTGGTTCGAAACTAGTAGAGCTTCTCTCAATATTTTCACGTAAGTAACCCACGAGTTTTAGTTAATATACGATAGTTATTATAAAAACATACTTAGGGCCAATTTTTGAATGCTCAATTAAGTAAATGTTAACTGAGGAATAACTTTGAATATTTGACAATTCTTCTATAGGTAATAAAAATTGTCAAATGTCAATTTTATTCTACAGTTAAGAATTAACTGATGATTGAAAAATCGACCCTTAGTATAGTGGTAATAAGCGTAACAAATTTTTCAGATTTTATTCCAATGTCTACAAAGGGCATTCGGCGTCCAGTATCCTCACTCACACGACGAAACACAACGCAAGCGTTGTTTCACGTCGGTCTTCTGTAAAGTATTTTGTGTGACTTATATCAAGTATTTAAATACACAATACAACATCAACATCCAAATAACAATACCACCAAACCCGTTGCCTCTGCCGATCCCATAATAAAAAAACAACCGTGAAGAATCGTCTCCCGTTGTGAAACCTGAGTCAATCATCAGGTGTGCAAAACAAGTAACTGATAAAAAATCCGAGCCTAGAACTATCCTGTATGGCCACGCGACATCTTCCATCCTTGTCACACTCATACATATTTACTCCTCTATCTCTGTCTACCGTAAAAGTCTTTTTAGACGCTTCGATCCGATATAAAAAAATGCGGCACTCGCCATCAAACGTTAAAATTGCACTAAATAAATTTGTTTCGTAAAAAAAAAGCAGATAGATGATCAGATAGAGGTGGCAGGAAGCCACTGAATGTAGGTCACAATCACATGTCGCTTCTAGTCTTCAACAGTGAACGTCGTACGCGTGTCGTGCGTATCGGCACGACACCGATATCGTATCGGACAGTCTAATACCGTTCCTACACTTATGTGGTATGACTTGAGTACTTCACAGGATTCCAGTTTTTGTTTGAGATAAAAATAAATTCTGGTATCTCTTGGTCACCCCACGTCAAGTTACGTATTTGCACAACGATCGAACGATTATCGAATAAAGAATGCAGTTTTGGTTGTTTTTTTTTGCATATCAGCCATTATTTTGTTGATTGATTAAGTTCGTGTGTGTTTGTTTAGTTTAGATATCATTGACAATTGGTTTAGTTAAAGCTAAGTGTAAGGTTAGGTACGATTGTTTAACTTACAGTTTTTTTGATGAATGTGGTCTATAGGCACTTGAATTTGTATGTTTGTAAACGCAACTACGACACAGGTGGTAATTCTATTGTGGAGACGCGTTATTTATTCAAACGATGATAAGTTTAACTCGTCGAGTACCGTCATTATAGACACAATTATAGAACAATAGGTTGCGGTCACCGGTGACCGCTTGATGTGTTGTTGATGTTTGACAGTTTAATTATTGCATACTGCTCTGTTGACCGAGTGGTCGCAAATGCGACTGCCGGGCAAGGGGTCTCGGGTTCGATTCCCGAGTCAGGCAAAGTATTACTGGATTAAAAAAAAATCTCAGTAGCAGCACGGAGTCTGGAATTGGCTCGGTAAGTGCATACAAGAATAGTTGGTCGCCGGTTTGTGTGTCCATTACATTCAGATTAAAGTTGTCTAAAGAGCCTCTGCGCAGTTGGCTTCGGGCCCTCGTACTTAAAACTTAAAACTAAATACAAAATAAAACTAACAAGTACTGTTTACGTGGTTACAGTATGTCTCTGATTTCGGTGAGCCTTACGGCAAAGGCCCCTCCAACTCTTTGCACTGTTTCCTATCTGCTGCTACTTTAAATTAGTAAGTTCCTATGGTAACTTTTGTATCATCTCCCATCATCAAAAAATCTGCTGAGTATGAGCTCAGCAATTTTATTATACTCACAACTTGAAGACCAACAAGGCACTAACAACTACCAATTTACACTACATTAGTTTAAAAATACGATATCGAACCTAGACACAACGCGTGCGCAAAACCATTAAAATAACGAGATTTTTTTTTATAATCCACACAATTACATTTTCATCACTTGCAACACTAACTACAGTAATCTTAGCAATTAGTTCACTCCTGACTACGAACGTAAAATTATTTTATTTATTTTTTTATTTGCTGGCAACAAAAAATGTCGTTAAGACTTTTTATGGTTATTAAAAACTCGTTCTAGGAGACTGCGTTTGATATTACAAATATTTAAAATTACTTAGACTGCCTCGTTGGCCTAGTAGTAGCAAATGCGACTGCGGGGTAAGGGGTCTCGGGTTCGATTTCCGGGTCGAGCAAAGTATTACTTGGTTTTAAAAAAAATCTTAGTAGTCTTTTATCCCGTTCCCGTAGGATTTTCAGGATTTTTTTCTATCATAAGAACCTTCTCCTGACAATAA